AAGCGGGCGGGTTGGAAGCGTCGGCGGGGGGCGGGTGGGTACTAGAATGCCGTGGTACATGCCTCCGTAGTAGGCAGAGGTTGCGTCAAAGTCGAAGAGTACAAAGTGCCACACCAGAGAGTTGTTTGGATCCTGTGCGATGTCCACGCCCTTTAAGATGCCACGCTCCTGCTGTTGTTTCAGCATCTTGTACTCCTTCATCAAACGCCCTATCGAGCTCGGGCCCATCGGAGGCTGGAAATTATTATGACCATCGACGAGGCAGCTCTACCAGCTGCCGTACCCCCCGCAGAGGGCACACCACCCACGGCGAATGGCGTATCACCACCCACTGCGGGTGAGGAGGTTTGGGTACCCGGAGGGGAAGAATGCTTCTGCGCGTCGGTGTCGGAGATCCAGACGAGTCGGCGTGGGTGTTCGGTGCAGCCAGTGTGGAGTTTATCGGACGACGAAGGCCGTGTGTGCACGGCCGAGCCGGAGTTAGAGGAATTGGAGGAGGTCTTGGATGCGGCTGAGCGTCCGAGTTGGGTGCGCGAAGTGGCGCCTGCGGCCGACCATTCGTCCCTTCTCGTCCAACCCAGCCAAGTCAGCACCGTAGACGACGAGGAAGATGAAGTCAGCACCGAAGGTGTTAGTTCTCTAGGAGTCCGGGACCTCCCCGACGGGCTCCTTCCGAGCCGGAGGCCGCAGGACGCAGTGCAGCCCGGCCCGAACGTCGAGGTCCAAGACCACCTTGCCCACCAGGGTGCATCTCGCCCAGACTCCGCCGAACTCGCCGAGCTGCAACCCCGCGCCAGTGCGGGACGGAGGGACGAGACACTCACGGACGACTGCGACTCAGACAAGGAAAACGACGAGGAGAACCGAACCGCAGGCTATACCAAAGAGGAGGCGACCAAGGTTGACACGGCCAAGGTTGACACGGTCAAGGTTGACACGACCAAGGTTGACACGACCAAGGTTGACACGGCCAAGGTTGACATGGCCAAGGTTGACACGACCAAGGTTGACACGACCAAGGTTGACATGGCCAAGGTTGACATGGCCAAGGTTGTCACGGCCAAGGTTGACACGGTCAAGGTCGGTGGTGGTAAGCCGGAGGTAAAGCTGGGTTCGGGTATTGGTCCAGCGCCGGAGGAGTCGATGGATGGTGTCCGGAGGGTGTGGGGTTACTTGGTTGGTTTGTACTACTACCAGGAGTCGTGGACGGTGGCTGTGTTCATAATAGGTTTAGGTTTGGTG